AACTCAATGACACGAGCAATTTACTAGAGCTACCTTGCGGTGCTTCGCCAGGGAAGGTGCAAGACCCCTCACAATCACCGGAGCCGGCCACGAACAATCACCAACTCATGCCGAAGCTCCTTCACTACTCGAAGCCGTCTAGGTGGTGGCAACCACCAAGAGAAACAAGAAATCCATAGCCACAACGATCTCCAAGTGCCACTAGATGCAATCACTCAAGCAAATGCACTTGGAATGATTTCCAATCTCACTATGATGATGAATCAAAGATGGAGATGAGTGGGAGGTATTTCCTTAGTCTCACAAGGATGTAAAGTATGTCAAAGTGCCAAGAGAGTGGCCCCCAAGCCGGCCAAACACTATTTATAGACGTCCAAAAACGAATAGAGCCGTTAGAGCCAAGGGAGGCCGCTCTACGTACTAACAGGACACGCCGGTCGAGTTGACCGGACGTGCCCAAGCCAATGTCTGGTCGAGAATCTGCTGCCACGTGTCCCCGCTTTGAACTCATGCCGTTGATCTCCAATGGTCAATTGATCAATTGCCTTAGGGTTAATTCTTGACCGGACGCGCTGCTATGAAGACCTAACGCTCAAGCCCGCGGCGTCTGAACATTTACAAAGAACATCCAGAGGTGAAAAACCTTGACCGGACACGTCAAGTCAGAGGCGACCTAACGCACCCGTGCATCTGGTTAGTGCACCACTCCTACACGCACTCGCCCGAGGCTAACGTCATGGGACATCAGCACGCACCTAACTTAGGGCCTGCACGTCCGATTGCCACTCATGCCACCTCTGCAAGAGATGACCGGACGCGTAGGTGCGTGAAGCCCTGCGTCCGACCACTCTCTGCCCCTCTCGGCCCGCTTTGCGCCAAGTTTTTAAAAATGACCGGACTCACCTGGCCAACGTCCGGTTAGGACGTGGCCAGTGTCCGGTCGTCGTGCAGCTCCTCCTTTTCTTTTTCTAAGTCCACAACCACTTCACCCTTGCTTCCAACTTGCTAACCACAAAGTGTACAACTTATGTGCACATGTGTTAGCATTTTTCAAAGCATTTTACAAGGGTCAAAGTTAGCACATTAGGTTCCTAAATGCATATGCAAAAGTCATGTCACTTAGTGGCACTCGATAAACCGTTTAGCCAAAGATTTCCCCTCTTTATAGTACAGCTATAGATCCTAAGTCACTCACACCCTCTATGATGTCTTGAGTACAAAACAAAAACCTATCTTATACCTTTGCCTTGATCTTTTTGGTTTTTATTTTCCTCTTTTTTTTCCAAGTTGAGCTTGATTATCATCAACACATGTCCACCTTCATCGCCATGGACCTCATCTTGCTCTATCACTTGGATTGGACCACCTTTTCTAATTCACACACTTAGATCAAAGGTTAGTCCTAAGTTTCATCAATTATCCAAAACCAAACTAGGGCTTTCACCCCTGCCGCATGCTGCCTACCGCATTGCTGCTTTGGCTGACCGGCTTAGGTGCTTAGCCAGTTGCAGGGCTGGTCAGGCCGCTTGCCTGTTTGTGAGAGGAGCGTGGGCACACATCTGCATGACAGCTGAGTGTTGGCCCAAATTTTTCTGTCACTCCATGGCATCTAGCTCCGTATGTTTCATGGGTTTCAGTTGTATGTTTCATCTGTATGTTGCACGTGTTTCATCTGAATGTTGTATATGTTCCAATGGCTATACACGTATGCTGCAAGTGTATGTTTCAGCTGCATCAAATGTATGTTGCAAGTGTTTTATCTAGATGCTGCATATATGTTGCACTGGCTATACACGTAAGTTGCAAATGTATGTTTCAAATGTTTCACCTGTTTCAAATGTATGTTGCCATTGTTTTATCTGTATATTGCATATATTGCAGTAGCCATACACACATGGTGCCAACATATGTTTGTAAATGTTTCATTTGTTTCGGATGTATATTGCAGCAAATGCTTTATGTTGCAAGTGTTGCATGACTATGCGCGGGAAGAGGGCGTAGACGGAGGTAGTCCCCTCATGCATGTCAAAAGAAGCAAAGCAGGCAACGCGGCCCCCACATTCATGGGTAGGCGCATGCGTACTGCAACAGCAGGAGGGGCTCGATCAGCAGGTGCAGCAACAGCAGCGCGCGACGATAATAGCAGTAGGAGCGCACGGACAGATGCAACAGCAGCGTGTCGACGAGTGTGCAGGAGCTGCATGCATGTGCTGTGGGGCCTGCATAGGCAAAGTGGGAGGACAGAGGCGTGGTTCACACGTCTCTTCCATTGGCCACATGCATCCAGGGAAGTGCGTCAACAGCACTGTTTCCTGCTGCATGCAGAGGGAGCACGTTAGGCGCATGGGCAGGCAGTAGGCGTGGGCGTCCGGATGTCTGGGTGCTAGGCCAAACAAGTCAATAGTGCCATGCAAGGGTACGTTGCAGTATTTATCTAGCACCCCCTTTCCTGCAGTCTGAGTGTGGTTAACCACAGGGAAGAACGTTTAGAGTGGATCCAAACTCATGGGACCGAAGATGGTAGCCACCACTGAAGACATCAGCATATTGTGGCGACGTGGGGACATGCAAAACCCGAACCACCCTAGGCAACACGTGTTCGCAGACAAAGTGAAGATCAATTTTGATGTGTCCCTGCCACAGCATCGTCGCACTGTCGGACCCATCACAGGTCCTCTTCGTCGACCTATTCTTCTTCGAGAGGATGGCGTCACCCCTGCCGCCGCATCGGCCATTGCTAACCTCGTCACGTGCCCCATGCCTCGCCCTGCAGAGACAGTGTGATGTAGACTAGGCCCGATCTTCCGAAAGGTATGATAGCGTCGATTGGTGGAGACTCGACGTTCACGATCTAGGCTTCGAACCAAGATTGATTCGGACCCCCGCAACCGTTACACCACTGCTCCGTTGGTTATCAACCACGCGAACGCGATTGACCTCGCCGAGAAGGATTTCCTGCAAGCGAATCAAGAACACAAGTAAGAACGGGATGAACGCAATCTGAAATTGCAAATAAATATGAGGCTTATGATAATGAGAAGGAGTTCAAAGTCTTTATTCGAAAGGACTAATCGCCACAGGCGAACAAGATCAAGAACTGGGGCTCTAGTTCACAGCAAGCGGCCTTGGCGGCGACAGTTGCAGCAAAACAATGTCTGTTTCACAAGGAAATCAAGAACTAAACAAAACTCAAACCCTAAGGAGAGCGACGGCTGCTAATTATAGAGTCTTGGGCATCACCCCCCCTGGACGCGCCCCCTAATGGGCCCCAACACGATACATGGTCCAACAGACCAAAATACGGTGTCGCAGCACCCTGGCAGATTCTGGACGCTGACTTGTTTCGACGATTCCCATTGATTCCAAACAGCTTTTGACGTGAGACCACTTGGATTGGCTTCCTTATCAAATTAGCTTTCCATCCATATGTGGATCGTCGAAAACAGAGTCCGGATGCGTCCTGGGTGACCAGTTTAAGGCAGACTGGTCCTGAAATCCGAGATGGACTCCAACTTCAGTTGGACTGGGCCTCCACCCAGAAAAAGCTGAATTGGACGCCCATGCTGGACCTCCTCCTCTCCTTGGCTTGTATGCGACAAGGTACTGATGTCCTCATCACAGTGGGCTTTTAGAGAAGAAAGGCTCGCACGGTGGAGAAGGCGGGCGAAGCTCTAGGGGCGTGATTACTCCCAACTGCTCGTCAATTAGGCATGGCAATTTATAAGCAATGTGCAAAAGATTAAAATATATGTGCTCTGAGTATTTTTTTAGGAAAAAATATTGAAGATAATGAAAGAAATAATACAGCTATTAAAACATAAATGAAATACTAAGCAAAACATTTAAAGTAGAAACAAAATGATAAAAAGACAAAAAGGCTATGAAACAAAACACTAAACAAAGCAAAACAAAAAAAATATAGAGAACATTAACATGTGTTGCATGAAAACTTACGTGCCCTTGAAAAGAACCCACTTCTTAAAACTAGAGGAAACAAAAAATAAGGCCCATTAACTAAATACTGGGCCCAATTAATACACATTGCCGCAAAAGGTAGGATCGAAGGGGATAATGTGATGAGGGCATCGCCATCATGGCCTCAACATTTAACAACTACTACTAGTGTTTGCGGGTAAATGCAACTTAATCGTCACATCCAACGTTGAACGATGTGAATATTCTAGTAATGTTTGTTTTACGTAGCCCTGTATTAGTTATATTAGATCACAATGGCATTAACCTAGCCTGTTGAACTTTTTATTCCTTCTCCATTATATTCTGGTGGTATGATATGATGGTGGCATGTATTGTACTCCACTTTTGGGAACGGCTGTTTGTACTTAGTGGAGGTCGCCCTTACCTAGAGGATGTTGCCTGGTCGCCCTTACCTAAGCACCCTTAATTCCTCTAAGCACTCGCTGCCAAGTACATACCAACGCAGTGTGAAACAAAGCGGGCTGGCGGTCTCTCTATCATCTCTCGTCGTTTAGGAGAAGAACAAGAGAGTACGTTCGGAAGTACTTGCAAGGATTCATCGTTGCCGTGCCGAATGGACTATATGGAAAGCAACCACATACTATATATAGGTGAATGCAGCATGGATTTAATCAAAGACGTTCATTTACATCCAAAGACGCAGAATTCAGCTGCTGAGAGGGGGGAAAATACCCATATATATATGTAGGGCAGATGAACCCAATCATAGTCGTAGAGGAATTACCACGAACTTGGCGACAAACGTGATATGATGCATGGTTTGTTCCATTAGTAGTCTTCCCGTTTGCTTGTGACGACCAACTTCTTCGATCAGCATATGTCTGGTGTGTCTGAGGTGGTGAGCTAGCTAGCTCTCGGTAGGGCAGGCCAGCAAGTGTGCACAATCTATATATACAAGCACACTGCACACATTTGACTTCTATGTTGGTCCACAGACAGAAGAACCACGCCTCTCAAGTCTCAAGCATCTCCTGCCCCTGGAGGAAGATAAAAGGGCCACAAAAATGGATAAGATCTTGATCATCGTATCTGCGGTGGTCGGGTCTCTGGGGGTGCTCAGCGCCATCTTTGGGTTCTCGGCAGAGGGAACAAAGCTGACTGTAAGCACTACCGATCTGCTAGCTATACATTTTTGCAAAGATGCATATGACCTTGTTGTTCTGTGAGACGACTGACTGTGAGCTAGGTGCACGTACGCGCTCGCGTTGTTGTTTGCTTAACTGAAGTCGAATGAATCTTGTAACATGCAGCCATATAACATACTTGTGTTCGGCGACGAGTGCATCTACCCGCAGAACCCCGCGCTTGGGCTGGGGATCTGCGCCGCCATCTTCCTGCTTGCCGCCCAGGTCACCTTCACGGCGGTTGGCGGCTGCTGTGGTTGCTGCAATAAGTCCCGCTCCAACCCTTCGGAGACCAAGCGGATCGTCGGCATCGTCTGCGCTGTCGTCTCATGGTGAGTGACCGCAGCCGATCTCTGCCTCGAACATATGAGCAAATGATCACGCACGTTCTGCGAGCAGGATAGCAGCGGTGATCGCGTGGGTGCTGCTCATAGAAGGAGCGGTGTGGAACGAAAACGTGGTGCGGATGACCGCACCCAACTGCTACTACCTCAAGGACGGCATCTTCGCCGGCGCCGGCGTGCTCTCCCTCGCCGCCACCGCGCTCGGCGTCACCTCCTACGTTTTGATGCGGACGAAGCGGGTGGAAGCTGCTGCGGCGCCGCCAGTCGTTCCTGCCGAGGGTGAACCGAAGCTCCCTCCTGCTGCTACTCAAGCCAATAATGGATCCCCACGGGACCAAGAGCTCCAGCGTCCACCAGATGATACGGTTACGGTACCGCCGCCGGCCATGGCATCCGCGCCCCCCGAACCAGCAGGTGAGCCGACGCCGCCGGCCGGGGCCGAGATGGGCCAACAACCGCCGGTCCAGCTGCCTCAAGCAGTAGGCGTGCCAAATGAGAATGAGACAATACAGTACCCTGTTCAGCAAGGATCTGATGAACATCTTATCCGCGAAGAATTAACTAAAGCAGGGATTAGATTGGCTGCGCGTGTGGTGGAGCATTCCCTGTTTTCTGACAGTGGTGTTGGGGATATCCTTGTTTCCATGACTGATCTTCAGTCCACAGATGCTGTCTAGCTCTAGCCTCAAATCGGTGCCCTCCTTATGCAAGCTTCTTATGCCAGTCGTCAACAAATTCGTCGTCCCACGGTCTTTCTGCTGAGTAACTGAGTGAGTCTAATAATTTAGTTCTAATTTTCTGACCTGGTAGCTCAAGTTCGTTGTTTGTTCTTGCTAGACTTTGGTCCTGTTCGCTTGGCTGATAAGCCAGGCTGAAAAGTACTGTTGGCTGATTTGTTGTGAGAGAAAAAAACACTGTTCGTTTGCTAAAAAAGTACACCTCATAAGCCAAGCGAACAGGGTCTTTGTACACCTCCTATATATGTATATGAACAAAGGATGCTGAGATAATTGGGTACAGAGCTTACCCACGATCAAAAAACAAGAGTTGATATGATTTTTTTTGTGATTGAAAGAGATGGCAAGAGCTTTGCCGCAAGTTTTATTCAATAATACAGCAAAAAGGAGCAAATAGAAAACATCATACTAGCCAAACCAAGTGCTCAGAAGAGAGCGAAAAAAACCAGCTAGATTGTACATACAACTAGAAAACCATTGCCTGCAACTGAAAAAACTGAAGCGACAAAATGTTCTAAATCTCCTGCTGTAGCTGCCGCTATATATCTCCAGATATAACAGTTTGCAGAGGGTAAAACTCTTTGCTCCTATGTACAATTTAGCTGCTATTAGCCCGATTTAGCCCACTATTAGCTGTTTGAAGAGGATGGTCACTAAATGTTTTAGCCCGCTATTTAGAACACTGGCGACAAAACACACAGGCCAGGTCGGGCACAGCAAATAAAATGATCGGTAAGTGGTGGATGCATCGTCAAGCTATATTGTTAGGTCATAGGTGTCATCTTTAACAAAAAAAAAGACTTCTCGTTGTTGGAGTTCCTTGTACTGGAAGACTCTTCGTTGTGCTCCTTCCAAACATTCTACCATAAGTACACTAATTACGTCAAAAGAGGCATTTTGGGCTTTACCAAAGTGTGCTCTGCATCTTCACCAATACTTGTAGATATAGAACCATTCTGCGGAATACCGTGGAGATGAGTTTGGCTGAACATAGTTTGGAGTATTGCCCAAACTTCCTTGGTGAAGGGGTAATCTTTGCATAAGTGACTCATCCTTTTACTGTTCACCGCGGGGGGGGGGGATTTACTCCCCCACCTGAATTTATTCATATTTGGGCTCAAATCAGCCTTGTCCCGTTACAGGTTACAACGATCGTAAGGATCATAGCCCGACAGTGGTTGATCGTCAAACAAGAAGAAAAGGATATGAAAATTTAACAAGGCTCACATTGCCGAATCAAAAACATGGCACCATTGATCGACTAAGTGTCGTTTGCCTGTCGGCAGTCTGAATCCATGCTAGTAGCAACTGACACTTGGTTAAAGACTCTTGCCAGAAGATTACCCCATTGAGCCGCTTCCACAGCTGCCAACAGCATAGAGCAATGGACATCCCGAAGTGCTCCAGCGGGATATGATAGGGCCGCTCTGTTGTATGAAGTCCCCTAGTAGGTTGTTGGGCTGGCATATTTATACCAATTGCCACCCAGAACGATACTGGAAAGTGGAAACGGACATCCCTAAATAATGTGCTGCGGCGATTCATCTGTGTCACCACAGATTTCACAAGTGGTAGAGACAACTATGTGCTTGCGGCTTCCGAATGGTGCATGCGGCTTGAATGCTTTTTTGCTACCTGTGTACACTGTAGTAAGAGCCAACGTCATGGCCGAGAATGCAATTCAGACTTGCAGTTGAGGCTACGAAGGGGCAGTTCAGGCAATCAGGCTTGCGGTTGCGGGGCAGCAAAGGATTGGCGCCAAAAAAAAAGCAATTTGAAATAGCATCAGTTTGAGATAAAAAATTACTTTTATCATTTTTAGCAGCAGACGTGCTTGGGAGACTGCAGGACTGAACATGGCCGTACTTAAGCATGGTGTGCCGGACTGCCGGTCGAAGACATACCTTAGCTTCATTCGCAGGCACGCAGGCGGGTTTTTTCCCTTTGCATATGCCCCGACGCAATGCCCGTCATTAGATTTGCATTGAGATATGTGCACTGGAGGAGTCAGCGCGTATCTAACAGCGCAGTGCGTAGGGGCACATGCCCTTAAGGACAGAGTTAACTCTCCCAGCAACAGTAACCATGCTCGTCGTTGAGACGTTTACAAAGTTACTGCATCTGCTGCTTCACGTTCGCACACAAAGTTGCTCTGTTGCTCTTCTGACCAAAAGATTTCAGCCCAGGATAAATGTTAGTTATTTGTACCGACGAACAAAAGCTAGTTAGGTCCTATTTGGAACACAGAGAAAATTCATATTCATGTGGTTTATATAAAATTCAATTGATTCCCCTAAAATCGAAAAGTGAATCTTATGAAATTCCTACGTTTAAAAAAAAAACATGGTCACGTGGGATCATGTTTTATAGATAAACACAAGAAATATTATGCTGAAAAATTATAAAATCAGATAAATAGCTAAATAGATATTAGGTTTTAAAGCTTAATTATCGAAACATTTTGAACTCTGTGCATGCATGCAAATGCCCTCCAAATGTGCATGCAGGCTGATCCCCATGTGCATGCGTTTTGCAGAACTGGGAAGCTGTGAAAACATCAGAAGCCACTGCCATTGTACTATTACACCACTCTAGAAACGTAGCACAGGTCATCTGATGGCCTGTTCGGCAGGACTGAAAAATACTGTTCCGGCTGATTGTTGTGAGAGAAAAATATTGTTCTGGCAGAACGTGAACAATGATTTCATGAGGTGGCTGGCTGCCAGCCGAACACTGCCTGATTCATTGTTCAGGACACGCGTCCACAATCTACAATCACGGGTATCTACCACACCCAGTTCAGCTACACCCGTTATAGAAAATCCACAATCGTACTTATTAATATCTTCTTTGCCCTCCAGTAATATGCCAAGAATAGTGGAGTTTACCCCATATGCAGAAGAACTATAGTGCACTCTACGACGGAGCCAAGTGGGGGCCAAAAGGGGCCACATGCAACACCCCCCCCCCCACCACATATGAAAACAACTTTTTTAGGATAATCTTATAATTTTTATCAATATTTAGTGGAAGAATATAACAAATTATTGTTATATATACTTATTAATATCTTCTACTCTCTTCGTCCAATAAAAAATATCATTCTCACTGTCTGAGAAGTCAAATATTTTCAACTTTTATCAAATATATAAGAAAATATTAATATTTATATTATATAATTAGTATCATTAGATTTATTGTTGAATATATTCTCATAATAAAGTTATCTAAGAAAACATTAATATTTACAATACATCAATATAATCATATAGATCGTTGAATATATTCTCATAACAAACTTATTTATAGAGATATAAATATTACTAATATTTTCTATAAACGTAGCCAAACTTAAGACCTACACGAATTCTATAGCGACACTTTTTACGGGAATGATAGAGTAGATAATAAAATCATAGAAAAACACAACTAGATAAAATCATTTCTATGAATACCACTGAAAGACTAGGCCGGTACATCTCGAGATTTATCAAGTCATCATAGAGCCTTTCTTCAATGGGTATATCGCCTGCCACTAAATGAATAGAGCTTTAAATTCTAGAATACATATAAAAAATACGAGCAATTGTAACAAGTCTATAATTAACCTGGACGGTCACCATGGAAAACCTAATCAGTCGAGCCGCGCTCAGTTTTTATAAGTTGTTTTTTTTCCGTCCCCCGTATGTATAATTTCAGGCTCCACCTCTTCTGTTGGGCGCACACGCGGCCTTAATTGAGTGTTGACCTAGGGGGCGTTGAAACGCTCAGTTGAAGGGTGGTGGTAGATTTTCCAGCAAAACAAAAATGATCTGCGGCAGAATGTTTATGGAGATGCATATTATGCGGACATGATTGGCACTAGAACGAGGACACGAGGAAGCTGGTACATTCTTGCACCTTGTCGACTTCATGATTGCCTTTAGGGCTTGTTTGATGCACATTTATCTATCTCAACCCATATGTGTCGAAGTGAATTGGACTGAAATTAAACTAAGTTCCACTTTAGTACATATAGATTGAAATGGATACACATGCATCAAACAAAACCTTAAGGACGATATAGCAAAATCATTTTTAGAAATAAAGCACGTCCTGTTCTTGCGAGTTGACTTGAGCTCGGAGTTACGTAGTTGTTGGATGTCCACTCGGCAGCAAGCCACGTTCTTGCTGAACTAACTTAACCTATGCATCTTTAAATTTAACGTTGCTCAAATAAATTCCCGCATAACGCATTCCACGAGCACGACATCTACACTATGGATCTATATATATCCGTTGCACGTTATATACTCCCTCCGTACTAAAATATTTTGCATTCTGACATTTAAAATTTGTCCTCAAATATAGTGCATTTAGGGAATAAGAAGATAATGTTTACTTAAATAAAATACGTGACTATTTTGTATAAAGAAAGTAATTCATGTACTTGCCATATTTTGTATAAGGAGACTAAGAGTTCATCCTTTAATCATGCGAAAAAATCAGATTTAAATACATTAGAAAGGTAAGTAAGGGGTACATGCGTATCTTGCGCTCTCCTTTATTTTGTCTGAAAATGGCCAGAATACGCTATATTTGAGGACGGAGGGAGCATGAGCAAAAAAACTCTAAAACACACTCCTACCTAGCTATGAATGAAATAGTTAACATATTTGAGTTCCTGTAATCACGTTACTAATTAGCCAGTTGTCAGTTGTTGTCACAAATGTCAACTCTCTTCAGTTAGCTAGCATTCATAACAACCATCGCACATCGCAGTTGAACAAAAGTACATTATGTTATCATCATCAGGCAGCTTGGGTGAGTTGACTTTTTGGCAATACATAGGGCATGTTTGGATCCCAGAGCTAATAATTAGCTCCTGTTTTCATGTATCAATTAGAAAGCCTAAATCTGAGCTAATTATGGGTGAATAAGAGCCAATGTGGGCTAATTGG